AGTCTGGTGGCCAGCATTGCTGAAAATGGTGACGCATGTTAAGGATTTCATCATCAAGATGTGTGACAGTGGAAAAATCCACATTCACCGTCATGGGAGGCTCGATGAGCTCCTCAAGTTTCAATTTCGTTGACTCAGGCCACTGGGTATGAGCTACCAGCCCAGTTGTTTGGCGCCTGGTCTGCGGCTGCTGGGCCGTCCTCCGGAAGCTTGAGCGCTGCAAGAGGCTCGTGGAAGATGCGGCATTGACTGTGGGTGCATCATCATCATACCAGTCTGCGAGGCTGAGCCGCTGGATGATGAGGGTGAAGGTCATGCCTTGACAGCAGTGATATGCTTCATCATTGGTAATTGCAGAGCCACCTTGCCAAGCGGAGCAAAAGGTATGGCTATTCAACGGAGGGCAATCTTGCTGTCGATTCAAGGCAGTCAAGAGCTGCAATTTCAAAACTGGTGTCAGAAGAATGACAGCCGTTGTGAACGGTTGGTTCTGCATGACCCCATCATCATATGTCGTTGTTAAGGTCGCACGTTCTTGGGGTTGAAGGAGCTGATGCAATATGATATGCAGTTGGCCTGGTTCATGGTCATGTGCAATCGCAAAAGCAACTTCAGTGTGTGGGTCAAGAAGATCGGTCCACGCTCGCCGAAGCTGGTCTTCCCACATGTGAAAATCATCTCCCAAGGTGGCGATGCGTACCTCATCATTCACTCTGAGGCGGTCAGAATGCAGACACCAAGTTCGAACCTGTAGGAGGCGTTCAATATGTGCCGGTCCAGTGCGTGCATGTACGTCCCAGTGACCAAAAAGCTCTCGGGTGAACTCTGTTTGATCGGCAAAATTGGGCACTGCTTCTGGCATGTTCTGCGCAGGGGATGTGGAAGTGACAAACCATTGTGATATGATCACATGTTCATCTCCGACGTGCTGAACACGCACTGGTGGGTGGACATTGAAAATCAAACCGATTCCTGGGTAAACTGGAGCAGGGTCTGTGGGACCAAAGTTTCTTTGATCAACCTGCAGGTCACAACGACGATCAACGCAAATGCGCCCAAGCCTGCAAAGATCTCTCACTTGCAGAGCGGTTGTGGGGCTGTGTAGCACCGCTGCTGCATAATTGAGTCTTGTATGTCCAGCTGTGAGCATTTGAATCGTAACCAGGACGGGAACAAAAGGAAATTGCACATCTTGAAAAACAAGCAAATGACCAATTGTCCAGCTAGTGTCATGTTTGGGCGGTTCAGGCCGAACAAACGCGTAGTGGACGTGTCTTTGCATCTGGATCTTATCCCTCCACAAATTGACAAGGTCATGTGTCCAAAACTGTGCATGCTGATCAAGACGCAAGACTCTGCGATCTTCATGGACTTGTTCGTGTGATCCACTAAGAAACCACGTATCCAAAAAAGCAATTGGACCTTCTTCTTCACACTCAACTTCTGCTTGCTGCACGAAGGCGCTGTGTAAATCATGAATCCACGCTGGTGTTGGCTGTTCATGACCAGCTCGTTGATGGTTCTGAAAATGAGCTGGTGACGCACTTTCGAAACTTGGTGGTTCATTCTGGGTTCCAAAATGCTGTTGGATTTTGCAATCAAAAACAGGCATATCAGTGATGGTGCTGACTTGGAGCATGGCATTTTCGTCAGCAATCTCCTGTTCAGCTTCAACTTCAGTGTAAAGATCGTCAGGGTCAGGATTGACATGAAAGCGGTGCACAATCTGTCCATGATTCATTCCCTGTTGGCATGCTCTGATCGCAAAATATGTTGGGATTTCAGGCTGCACAAAAGGAGGAACAGCAATGCGCACATAGTCTCCATGAGAGAGATCCAAATTTGCCCTGCGCTGATGAGAGATCAGGTTGCCTTTGTGCCAAAGAAGACATCGATCTTGCCGTAACTTGCAGTACGCTGCGACACCAGCGATGCGCAAAAGTAAGGAGCGATGAATTGGTGTTGGCAACAAAATGGTATACCGATCAACTTCAACGACAGCGTTAGGGGTGGACCCATGTATTTCAACATCAACTAGTATGGCCCTGCGGTTGTCACCGAATCTGATGTCATCATTTGCTAATAGCAGAAGTGGTTGGACACTTGCAGCCTGCAAATCGTGTGGCATGGGTCGAATATCATAGATATTTGCGACATCATGGTGGCCATATCCCAACAACCGTCTTGTTTCAATGAAGAAGGCAGCTGGTGGGTGCGTTCTGATGCGCCCGCTGGCCAGATTTGACCGGAGATCAAACACCTGCACTGATTGCCATTCATCACTGTCTGAAATTGAGTCAGGTGATGTGGGTAAGTGTGTTGCCAGATCAGAGTCACTTTCTGACGATGGCTGTGGTGCTTGTCGTGGCTGACGAGCCATTAGGGATACTGTATCGTGTGCATCAAAATCCTTTGGACGGTGCAGCCCAGCCTGAGTGATCGACTCATAACCATCACGGTGAGGCTCAACTCTAGGTGGATAATACGACTCAAGGATCTCAGCAAATGGCAAGATCTGGACCTTCTTGGCAGTGGAAGGCTGGGTGTGATTTTTCAAAATGGAGCGAACAATGGAGCGCTGGTTCTTGGGAATGGAGTATCTGCAAACCTCATGCAAATCAAAACCAGAACCGAGAACTTCATTTCTCAGGCAGGTAGCACTGGCTAGCGCTGATGGCTCTGAAAGAAATGTAGGCTCCCAATGTATGCTATGGCAACGTATCATGGTTCGAATGGGATCAAAAGCAAGGTCCTGCCTGCATGCTGCATCAACAACTCCGGAGGGTGGTCGATAGGCATCAGCAGGCAAGGTCGCCTCTTTGCATGTTGTTGGCACACGCAGTTCATTCCAGTATATCGGACATTGAACGTCGCTGCCAAAGGTCACGATGGTGGCGAGGAGACATGTCCATCTCCTAATGGAGCTGTGGGTACTCCAAAAGGTTCCATGGACCTCGGCCGCTTGTGCTTGCGGTCCGCTTCTTCGTCTGAATTGATCTCCATCGTCTCTGAATCCTCCGCCGCTGCAGCGATACTCTGTTGCAAGCTCTCTTGCACCTGGAGGACCAAGGCGGTCGCCTCGGCCTCGAAAGCTGCACCATTGTCCCCATCTGCCGAATCTCGGCCAACATCGCCAGCGTCTGCCGATACAGGTGCTCCCACTTCGGCTGCCTGTTTGTTGAGCTGCTGGAGATGTCTTCGTGCTGTGGTGAGCTCTTGCTGTGCTTGGAGGAGTTGATCCCCATATTCTTTCTGTTGGTCTTTGAACAGCTGCAGTTGCTTTTGCCAGCTGTTGACCGAGTCCCTCAAATGCTTCAACCAGTTCTGCCGATGGGCGTTCCGGGCTTCTTTCACTGAAGCAAACTGTCGGGCTGCTTTCCCAACTTGGTTGGAGGCGCGATTGAGGTCTTTGGAGAGGGCTTTGGAAGTCGCTTTGTCGGCCTTGTCCACTGCCTTCTTGATGTGATCCGGTGCACAAGTGATGTCCGGATAGGATTTGCGCACTGCAGCTAGAAGTTCCACACCCGCCTGAACTGATGCTGACAGCGCAGGAGGAATAGGTTCCTGCTGAGAACTGGTTGCAGTCTCTTGTGTGGGCCAGGGAGGAAAGGCAGCATTCTGGCCTGACTGCACGTTCGGCTCGTTTGCACCTCCTTTGTTTCCTTTGCCCTTGCCCTCGCCCTTGCGTCTTCGTGCACTCTCGCTGCGATCTGCTTGATTCCATGCTTTGCCTCGTCCACGTCTCGGTTTGGTGTGCTGATTGGTATTCCAACCCCAATCCCATTGAGACTGTGAATTCGATGCCCTTGGTGATTTTGGAGCACTGGAATGTGGTTCTCCAGTGCTCCAGTGCTTCTTGCAAGCAGGACAGAACGTGTGCTTTTTGCCGTTGAGTCGGCCGCAGCCGCAACGCCATGGGTATGCATCTTGAGATGCCATTACTAACTCCTTCTGGAATCCAACGTCGTTGGAATGATGCCTGGCCAGAATCTGTGAAATCTTGGCAAGCTGGATTCGTGTGAGAATTCGAAAGCCTTTGCGATGCTGGTGCCACGAAGCACGGGCAGTAGCACGCAAACGCCTCTCCCTTCGTCTCACTGTCGGCGTAGCCGTAATTGTGAAGCAAGATGGTCACGAAAATCAAAATGATCACTGAAACAAAATTGTTTGGCATCAAACAGAGCTTCCTCCCGGTGCAGCTCAGTTGAGAAAAACCAAATGAATTGTACAAAAACACAAAGTCAGCGTACAGGAAATGAACTGTAGGCAACCAAGTGTGTGTCAATAACAAATGCGGTAGGTCAATTGAATGGCAGCTAACGCAATGAATTGAGGCTCAATATTGATACTGCAAGAGGTCAATCTAATGACAGCTAATGCAGTAGATGCTGAAGGCCACCACTGAAATGTAGAGCGAGGTGATGCAATCCACCCGGGAGTGCAGAGCACGTTGCGTAGCTCAAGCAAATCCAGTAGCGCGCCCGTGGGTGTCGACAAAGAACCCACTCAGGTAATTGGCACCGCTAAATCAGACAGCTAACCCCCGGGGACGAATGGGGGCATGGAGCCAGAACCTTACTAGCCACAATATGATAATATATAATTATACTTATAATATTATATATATATATAATATCATACATATACATAATGCAACTACGAGTATATGATACACACATACCACTACGGTCCACTTCGTAATTCTCTTGAAGAACTGGAGGTACCACTCAGCAGTGGTAACTTCCTCCGGAGATGTGGCAACTTTTGGATCCAAGATCACCAAATGCCGCGCACCAAGTGGGGCCCTTTTCAGATATCACTGGGGTATCTGTAAATAGCCTTAAATGGCTGTTGATATTGGAGTTGATTGGGAGAGTCAGTTCAAAAACCCATTCCTCCAAACCCATCAATATTGTCATACAATTTATAAGTTAAGATAAACCATTTCAAAACAGGAAGGGCCCGGCCATGAGGCCTCGGGACTGCGGCCAGTGGCAGCGATGCTTCCGATGCAGAGCAGTCGCTTGCTCCTCAGACCAGTGAGCTGATTTGGATCGGATGATTGATGGGTTTGTCTAAACATGGGGTAGTATACACACCCATCAATGCATCAATATCATTCAACATCTATATTTAGATGGGATTTTAATGGGATTTTTATGGGATTACATGGGATTGATGGTCTTCATTGGTGCCCCAATCCACTGGTTGAGCTAAGCAGCTAATTCCTGAATCTTCATGGGGCCATCAATCGGGTGGTATTGCCTATTTTCAGACACACCCTGATTCGCACTGCATCTTTGAATGGACGCTGCTGGTATTTCCTGATTTGTTGATGGATTAAATGTCAAATTCACCAATGGATACTGACAGCTAATGCAAATTTCTGAGGTCGGGTGACTCTGAGAGTGAGGACGGCAATCTGACGCGGGTGCGTTTGCTTAGCAACACCTGGCACCTCTGGCACATCTGACCTTGAGCTTTGCACTCCAAGCTTTCCCAAGGCAAGTCCCAACCAAAGAGGCAGGACTTCCAAGCCACCGGATCCATTGGATCCACTGGCTGTTTAGATGCCCAGACCTCTGATTTCTCAGTGCAATGTGTCAGGGCAGCAGCGGCCGCCTGGCAAGCGACAGTCAAAGGATGTTGTCTACTCCAAAGGTTGGGTCCTCGCCGTTGTATTCTGTTGTGAATACCCTGTATCATCCTGTATCACAATTCGGACATATTTGGACACATTGTATACCCTGGCGAAGCCAGCTCACATGCCGTGTTCTTTTTGTTTCCATCGAGCTGCGAGTGTCATGTCCAGGTCCGAGTCGAAGCACTGGCGACTTTGTGCCACAGCTGCTGCGGTCATTTCCCTCAAGGGTGAATGTCGTTCAGGCCGCAGAGAACCAGATGCAATCCAAGTTCAGGTGAAGAATTCATGGACTTCATATCACTTCATATCACTTCATATCACTTCATATCACTTCATATCACTTCATATCACTTCATATCACTTCATATCACTTCATATCACTTCATATCACTTCATATCACTTCATATCACTTCATATCACTTCATATCACTTCATGGCATCATGGCATCCATCTTTGGACCTACTGGGACCAACTAGGACCTGCAACTTTGCAAATCTAGGGCAGAGTCGGCAGAATGTTGATGGGTCGCTCCAGATGTGTGAGGTTGCCGTTGGAAGCGATATGCTGGGTGCGCATACTTTAGCCGTTTCCCGGAATGGCCGTTTGTACAGCAAGGGCACTCAGCCTTGGCGTTGGATGGTGTAGCAATCCCTGACCTTTTGAGTCATTTTGTTTTGAGATCCTCAGGTTGGGGCTATGGACCTGCCTGCGGTCTTGGAAGCACAGCCAATGCTGCCGCCTTAGCGAGCTGATGTTGCCTGGTTCGACAAAGCAAAGCGCTGCTGAGGTTAGTACTCCCACCTTGGTAACAAAGTTCCTGGGGACTGGTGCAGGCAGGTAAGCCGTGTGGCACACATGAAGAGATCAAATCAGAGAATATCAGAGACATAGAGAGACACAGACACAGGGAATTATGCATTCCAAAGTCACATGTGAAAAGATAAGTTTAACGGTTTAACAGTGAAATACGGTGAGTCTATTGCAGTGGTCAGATAGGTTGGAACCTCAGGTTGCTAGGAGATGTTAGGAGATGTTAGGAGCCAAGCGACAGTTGTGAATCAGGCGAAAGTGGCAGTGGACGGCGGCGGCAGGACATGGAACCACTGGGACAGGGTCTCAGCGGTCTCAGCGGTCTCAGTTTCAATGTCCCGGTGACCACAGCCTGACAGCATCCCTGGGTCCCTGGCAGCAGCTCTTTGACAGCTTGGTGCATTCCCAGGTTGGGGAAAGCACTCACACATGCGCTACCGTCAGACAACCTCAAACAAGAACCTTGGTTTACAATTTTTGAGGTCCGGGGCCCAGATATAGCCAGTCACACCGACTTTGCAAACCATGCAAATGATATGCAAATGATGCAAATTGGTTCAAACCAATTTACCTCTTTTTTGACAAGGCCGAGGATAGCAAAGGCGGCATGCGGCGGTGGTTTTAGCGTTGTTTTGAGCAGCGAGGGTGAGGCCCGAAAGGGTTTCTGTGTCAGTTTTCAGGGGTTTATCAGGGACCAGTGGATTCAAAGGACATACCAAACTCTTGATCAATGGTGCAGCTTTAGTAATTTAGCTTTGAAGTTTTTTTTTTTTTGATTTTCTTCGCATCTTGCAGAAGGCAACCAGCCGCCGCTTCAGGTCTTCACCTTCGGAGTGAGCGCCAGTGGCCGTCTGGGCTTCCGGACCAAGTTCCGGGCGCAGTGACGTTCTCAGCGACAAATCGACGAATCAACTGTTCAGATTCAGAACCAATCGACTAATAGTATCTATATAATCTATATAATATCTATATAATATAGTATCTATATTATTATATAGTATCTAATAATTGACTAATCTACATAATCAACTTATTAAACCTACTTAATAAATCTACTTATTAAGTTCTTTCATGGTGAATTATAATGTGTTATAATGTGATTTGATCATGTTTGATCCATCCATCCCCACTGGCGGGATTTTTAAGCAGGCTGAGACCTCGTCGTATTGAGACACTGGCAGAAGGGACGTGGCAGCCTTGAAGGGAAACAGCTGGTTGTCATTGTTTGTATAATTTTATAGTAGCGCCAGAAAGATACAGAAAGATAGAAAAGCAAGACAATGTTCACATCAATGAAAGCAGGATTTTTCATTGTATCATTTTATATCATTGTGGAGATGACTGAAAGAGATTCCGAATGCAACAGCAACCGGTCCAGAGCGTGACGTTGGTTTAAGGACAGACATAGCAGCTGGAGCTGCATTCGTCCTTTTGTGCTCAGCTGCAGGGAGGCGACTGGAATGCATCGTGCCAAATGCCAAATCTATCAGAACTTGACTAAATATGTTTAAAAAGATTGTAACTCCCAAAAAAGATAATAATATATACAGTATATATATATATAGATTAAAAGTATATAATTTAGCACTATTTTAGGTGGATTTTACTTTTGGAACTTTTGGGGTTGCTTGATGCCTTGAACTTTCCAAGATAAATGGGACGATTCCAATGGATGAGCATCTTTCCAGGGATGGGTGAAAACCACCAGTCCATCTACCGCCATTGTCCGCTTGCCGCTGGGTCTGTTTATTCCGTCCTGCAGGCTGCTGGCGTGGGGCGACAACACCAAGGGCCAACTTGGAGTTGGTCACTTGCAGGAGTCGCACGAGCCGTGATGATCCAAGTGCGACCAGTCGCGAATTATCAACCGAGAAGTGCGACCAAACTGACGTAGTACTGAGTACTGTTTTAGTGGAATGGTGCTGAGGTTGACTCTGGGCAGAACATGTCCATCCGCCTTCGTGATGCAGGTGAGCAACACAAAGTCTTTGGTCAGCGATTTGCATAACTTAACTATTTGGCTGCCTACTCCAGAAGTGCCCCAAATCTTGTGGTGGTAGATTCCTTTTTGTGCATTTTGAATGCATGTGCGTTCTTCGAAAGAATGAAGTTGCTTGCGCGAAGGCGGTGGCTGCTGGTGACTCTCACTCGCTAGCCTTGGATTCTGCTGGGTTCAGGGCTCGGCTTCCTTTCACCTGAAAAGTGATTCAGGCAAAGAAAGTAGTTGCCTAGTCCAAAGCATTTAGCATATAGGAGACATAAAATGGCATGCTTGCAACTTCAAACCTTATCTTATTTGCCTTATTGGCCTTCTTGGACGCTTTTGGCGACTGCAGATATCACAATTGCCAGCCCAGGCGAACTTACAGTTGGGGAGGAGAAGGGGGCCCGATGACTGGTCAAGGCACCTTTGAATTGTTTGAATCACTGGTTTCCCAATGTGGTGCGACCAGTCCATTCACCAACACCATTCTTGAGATTTCTTGAGTATCCTTGGTGGTTGCAGATGACAAGTGCCTGAGTCAGGTCAGCCTGTGCCAAACTCAACACAGGTAGATGCAGCCTTTCAGTGCAGCCCCTACCTTTTGGCTTCCATTGCCGCAAGTTCCATGAGGAAAGGTGACCTTAGAGGAATGAATCATCCCCAAGACTTTCTTCTCAAGGTTCCGCTTGCGTCAACTGTCTCACTGGTGGGTGCGGCTGGGGGCTGAACGTCAAATACAAGTGATGTACTTGGTGCGGCTGTGACATGCGTTGCAAACTTCCAAGGCCTCACCCCATCCGTGCCCTGTCTGGAGTGCACATCGTGCATATCGATGCTGGCTGTCTCCATTCTTTGGCGCTATCACAGGCGACCAAGTTTGTAACTCTCGTCGAATCGTCGTCCAAAACTTTTGATGTTGTCTCCATATGACAGGATGGGGCCTTGTATGCTTGGGGTGCTCCTCTTCAGGCGATGGAGTCGTTTCTATTGGTGACAATGAGATCTGAGATTGCACCATGGACGTAGACAGAGCTTTGCTTGGTGTGATCAAAAGCTACAAAGTGCAGCTTTGGCTTGTTTTTGTGAACAAGGCTGCTACCTCACGGAGTGCGGGCAATGTGCAAAGTGTGCGATCAGAGGCGAAGATCAAGCCTACACCAGTGCTAAACTGTAGGACCGAACCACATGCGAAACTGTTTGAGGTGCATGCTACGTGCACTGGTATAGTGTATAGAGTACAGAGCTTGTGCAGGTGTCTTGGGTACCACGTTTGGTGGCTCCCAGCCCAAAGCTTCCCTTGGTGCGAGTTGGCACAGCAGCAGCAGGAGGCAGAAGTGTTGCAGTTCCGAGTGTCGACTTACCATGTGAAAATGTTTTCCTGCGTTCCCTACAAATACAGAATTTTCATTCCAGCGTGTCCGTTGGAAATCTGTCGGAGGCTGGCACTCCATGACAACAGCTGTGCCTTCCAGTGGGAACTGCTGGCATGGTTTTCGATGCTTTCAATGCTTCTTAGTGCATGTACTGCAGCAAGCTAGATCAGAATGACAGTACCATACACTACCTACATTTTTGATCATTTTTGATCATTTTGATAATTTTTGATCATTTTTGGACCTTGGACAACTTGAACAGGCTTGAAAAGCTGCTGCCAGCGAATTGGTTTCAGGACCATATGGTATGGCAGATCGGAAAATTGCTTTGGAAGACTTTAAAATGCTCTTTTTGCAAGGACGACGCCAAAACGGCGGGGAATGCTCAGGCATGGTGTGGAAAGCCAATGCCATACAATTTCTATCCAAGGACCCAAGGTTGACAAAGAAGATTGAACAGACCTGGCAGATTGCTTAAAACCTCACTTGCTCTCGTTTGTTTGAGTCGCCCAAGTGTCACGCAAGGCTTCCCAAAATTTGCTGGATGCCTGTGATGCCTGTGATGGCTTCTTGGTCTCGGAGGTCGATTCAACCCCTGAGGATTGGCAATTTCACCCTGTCAGAGTGTTCTGTGAGTTCTTCTCTGATGGAATCGACATGCAATTGGAGTGCCAACATATGCCAACTTGTAGTTTTGATTTGAGTGTTTTGCAGGAGGAAGTCAGAGTACCAGTTTGCTGCGCAGCGATTCGAGCTAGACTTGCAACTTCGTCACGCTTACGGTGCCATTTAGGTTCACTCCTGGTTCATGGCTTTTTCCTTGCCTCCTCCACTCGACTGTGAGCAGGAAGGAATACTTCCTCAATGGCCGGCAATGGAACTACTTCTTCCAGCATCACTGCTAGTACTGAGACGTGTTCAGTATATTTGCTTGTTGTTTGACACATATGTAGGATACAAAGGACCCAAAGATTCTTTGCTGTTCGCCCTTGCAGAGCTAGCAAAAGTAGCAGCCAGAAGTACACAAGCGTATTATGCTGAGATTCCCTTCAGTCTTGGCACAAAGCTACCCTGAACCATCAATGTCTTATTCCAAGATCAATATCAGACAAGAGAGTGGAAGGTCGCGGAAGTGCAAGTTTTGGTCTCCAAAAGACTGAAGAATCTGAACCTTCAGCAAGAGCGCCAGTTGACATGGCCTTGCTATACAGATGTACCTCTAGACATATTGCTAGCAATGGAACCCACTTCAAAAGCGAAAACCGGACAATGAAAGAGCATGCACATACCGAACTGCCTGGGCGTGTACAACACTACGGCCAGGCAATGCCCGATGGCACAGATTCACCGATGTGGAGGGCGTTGTCCACGCAGGTCCTTGCTGCTTTGTCTCCTATGAGGGCTATGAGTGCTATGTTCCCGTTTGCCCCGCCAAGCAGAAATGCAGGTGGTGCGTCTTCGCCCGGAATCTGTTGCAGTCTTTGGGACTGAGGCGCGGCTCTCCGCTGTGGCTGTTTCATGCTCAAACCAGACAGCAAAACCTGCGCCAAACAGCAAGGCACAGATTGGCTGGTTCGACAAATATGTTGGAGACAGCTTCTGTCAGGCAGAAACAACGCAAGAAGATGAGGACTCAGCGTCACATTTGAATTTTGACGATGCGCGGCTTCGGTTTCCTTCCCGAGTTTTCTGATGCCTCTAAGATCACTTGATGTTGAGCTTCAGGCCCAATCTAATCCTTAAAATCAACGCCTCACCTCCATCCCTTTCACCGTCTGTCACACCAGTTGCAAAGCTTCGTTTTGTGTTGGATTTTGTGCCTTTCACTTCATTGAGGATAGCAGCGGCAGCGAGTCTGGTGGTTTGCTTGAAGTGGCGGAGATGCATCGATCTCAGAGGTGCCTCGATGGGGAAAGCTGTCGACTGGGCGGGACCAGTGGCACGTCCCACGGGAGGCTCTCGGCCCAAAGAAAGCTTCCAGTGCTGAAGCCTCAAAGAGAAACATCTGTGAGAGTCTTCAGATGTCAAAAGGAAGGCAGGTGACTCAGGGTGACGCAGTATGGATGTTATGGATGTTATGGATCTTATGGGTGTCATGCTATGGGTATGGGTTGTAAAGCCAATGATGGCTCTCTGAAGCGCATCACGCTGCATCTCAGTGAGCTCTTTGCTTCATTCTGTGAAGTTGGTAAGGACCGCCCGAAGCAATGATGCAGATGAAGCCGCTGGTTTGGTTTGGACCCTGGAAAGCACCTTTGATGCGTCAGCATCGCAACGACAGCAACGACTCAGGCACTAGAACCTCCCGTGTCCAAGAAGGCTCTGCCCTTGGACTTCAAGGCTGTATTCTTCATGCCAGGAATAGACTAAAAATCATTCTGCTGAGGTTCAAAAAAAGATTCCTCCGAGGCAGACAATCATTTTTTTGCAAGCACTTGAAATGGGTGGGTATTTTATTATCACACTGAGTGTTGTCTTCGAATGTTCCGGAGACTTTCGCCAGGAAGAAGCCGATGGCAAATTTCAGCTCCGACTCAGACTCAGGTAGCCGTGATGTGGCCTTGAAAATGGTAGAGCCTGGAAGGATGGTGTAGTCAGCAACCCATCATTCCTGCGGCGCAGGTGATTTGGGAGGTATGCCAAGTCGGAGTGACCGACCAGGCTTTCTGGCCAGGGCGAAGGAGCCGGGGCCGTCAAGTGAGTACAATTATTGGAGATGCTTGTTCATAGCAAGATTCAAACACCATTGTGCTTGCACCTTTGTAAAGATCGTTGGTGGTGAATTTCATGAGTCACCAACTCATGCTACATTGGACTCCTCGAAACAAGCTACAGGAACGTGCTGCACCACAAGTGGCAGCGCCAAAGCGTCCAGTGCCGGATTTTAGCGATGAAAGTGTATCTGAGGAGGCGGGAAGTCCATTCATGGAAAACAAACATACTTTGACTGGACTGCATCAGTGCGATCTGTGTGATCTGTGATCTGGGGATGGGTCAAAATGCTACCAGCTGCCACAGGAACTGGTGCCTGATGATGTTGTAGAAGCTGCTCGACAGTCTCCCCAATCGCGCTCGGACGTGCCACAGCTGAAGCCTGGAAAAGGCGCAGTTTAAAGCCAGCTCTGGCAAATGTGACCCCCATGGGATTAGAACATTAAAAACCGTATTACGTATTACTGTATTTATATATTATATCCACATATATATATATTCTGCATAAATCATATGTATATGTATATACACACATACACATATTACCTGTTTTAATACATAGATAAATACATACACATAACAAATGTGCATATATATATATATTATAATCATTACATATGAACACACACATATATATATATATGTATGTATGTATGTATGTATGTATGTATGGTAATGTAATGTAATGTAATGTAATGTAATGTAATGTAATGTAATGTAATGTAATGTAATGTAATGTATGTATGTATGTATGTATGTATGTATGTATGTCTATATATATATATACACATATGTATACGTATATATATATAATTATACGTATACATACATATATATATACGTATGTATATATATATACATACATACTATGTATGTATGTAATGTATGTATGCATATACAATTACATATACATAGAGATAGATACAAATGATCGTAAACCAAAAGAGGATGCTCCAAGACACATACCAGTAGTACCCGCACGAGGCAGGGCGGAAGTTGCCTTAGGGATATATAAGACCTTTCTCATCTATAGAACTTGCATGCGCCGTGCGCCAGCCAAGCCCGTGCGTGCGTGCATTCTGCGAAAGTTGTGTCCTGTTTCACATGTCACATTTGAAGCTCCACTTCGCACTTCACACTTCTCACTGCACTCTTCACACTCCACACTACACACTTCACACTCCACACTTCACACTTTGCACTGCACTATTCGCACTCCACACTTCACTTCACACTGCACTCTTAAGACTCCACACTTCACACTCCACACTTCACACTTCACAGTCCACACTTCACACTTCTCACTTCTCACTGCTTTCTTCACACTCCACACTTCACACTTCACACTCCACACTTCACACTGCACTCTTCACCCCCCACACACACTTTAATCCTTTCCAGGTGCCCTCGCCATCGCGGCTGCCGCGTCCTGGAGCAAGACCTGCAGTTCCGAGCCAGGCAGACCTATTGGAATATATTGATATGGTTCAAGCAACAAAATTTGATAGGTTTCAAGCAACCTTTCATGAGAATGTGACACCCCAAAATTGGGATAGTAGATCATTTCTGGATCCCAGGGTCATAACTTTTGACCCACACTGCACAAGTGTATTCACGTGTGAGCACCTTCTCAAAAGACAGTTCACGCACCGCTTCAACACTGCGTTCCTGAAGTGGAATGAGAGACACAGGTGCCAACAACATTGGGTGGTCTGGAACTACGAAATTATGGTGAGGTTGTCCTAGCAGCGTTGGATCCTAAGCTGTGCCAAGCCTTGCAAGGCTTCAACAACACCCTGCAGACATGCATCCTTGCAAATTGAGGCTTGTACGCTTTCTATGCACAGATATGCGGGGCGCCTGAGATATATGGCATGCTGTGATTACCCTAGATGTGGCAGGTTTGTGTCCTGAAATTTTAGTGGTGCCCATCAATATGAGGCTTACCAATTTGACAATTATTGATGAGCCTTGGACTCAGACAGGCTCAGAACTTGTGAGCCACGAAGCTTGGTAGAGAGCTACTGTGCGAACTTGTTTCAATTCTGCATGGTGGTCAAAATTCGATCATTTTCCCTGAAGTGTTGGGAGATTTGTTCGCATTTCAGGTCTCACCCTGTATGGCAGCGAGAACAGCAATTTCGCATGCGATCACCTGGGTCCAGTCCGGAGGTGGGCGCAAAGAATGACCCAAAACCAGTGCGCAAGCCAGTGCTCGTCAGGGCTCAGAGGATGCCAAGCGCCCGACCCGACTCCGTGCCGACGCTTTTGCTCGCTTGTAGAGAGAGAGAGAGAGAGCTCCTTGGAATTCAGCGCATCCATAAGCCATACGACTTGGAAGAATTGACGTCACCAACAAGGTTTGCAGTAGTTTTTCTTCAGCTTGTCTCTTCGACATTTCTGATTCGATCTCTCACATATCTTATCTTGTTATGCCAGATCCGCGGGATGCTTTTGCGAAGAGAGGTTCGTAGACAAGACACCACGCCACCAAATTATTGAAGCTAAAGCCATATCCACAACATGGCCTGCAGTGGTGTTCACAACGTGTGCCTTCAGATGGGCCTCAACCTGCAGGTAAAAGACCTGCGGCACATTGGAACATCGCTTGGTCTAGAACGGCTCGCACGTCTTTGTGATCAGTTGCTTAGCTGACGTCCTTGGTTACATGTTCCACGTGATTCCATGTCTGACTGGGAAATGCTTGCTCTCAAGATCTCTCAAGCAGATGAAGCAACCATTTTAGAAGACACTCCATTTTCACAGCTTTCAGGAGCCCTATACAGACCAAATTGAAAGGATGCAGAAATGTTGCAGCCCCTGCGAGCCGCTCCAAGGGTCCCCCAAGCAAGTAGGAATTGCCAATGAAGCCGTAAAGCACGTGCCACACCAATTCCCAGCAGAGAAACGTATATTGACACTTGACAGGTAATCTCAAAGTCATTGAGTCATCATGTGACCATCCTTTGAGAGACTAAATATTCTAATCTTCTCTACGGGACAAAAGCTCAGTCTCTCATGGCAGGGGACAATCCGGTTTGGGGATGTTTGGGACAAACGATGTGCCGGACAGTGGCACCTTGTCGCACCTTATGATTTTTCGTTTCCAGTTGTGGGACTGAAGGCTTTTGCTGCGACTGGATGCTCCTGGCGCGCCAGCACTTTTTGTGCCAGCTTCATCCATTGGGACGACAATGTCAACTGCTCAGACTCTATCGATCCAGATCGATCCCATTGGATCCCATAGGATCTCTATAGTCTATAGTCTATAGATGTCTATAGTTACGCCTTGAGGCCTTTGAGGTCATCATTTTGCGTTTTGCTGCAGCTCTGAAATGAACGGCTGAATTCTGGAGTCCAATCTTTTTTTTCCATTCAAAAAGAACATTGCCAACAAGAAAGATCAAACATCAACAACCCCTATGCCGCCTATGCCTTCAGCATCTTTCACTCAGCCAGCTGTCAGCTGGTAGAAAGGTGGACCTTGTTGCGGCAAACCCTGCGACCAGCCGACCGGGATGGTCCAGACACCGAGCTCCTGTGCGCTCCTCCGCAGTGCCATGGTGGAAAATCGGAGTAGCAATTCCCCTCACAGGGATACATCTGGATACATATGGATACATCTGGATATATCCCAGTGAAATGATGTTAAATGGCTTGACATATGTTGAGATGATCTAAACATTTGGGGTTGAATGGGGCGACATAAATTGAAACACCCCAAAGTACCACATGCTAAATGCTAAACATTTGGCAGTCCGGGGACCATCCTTGTAGTATGGACATTTTGGATGCGATGTGCCAAGGCCTCACAAACAACGCTGGGGTCCTCGCTGGCTACCCAAAGATGGTCACTTGCAAGCGCACTCCTTTGCTGGAACCTTATCCACTCTTATCCAGCAGATGCGGGAGAGGAATCTCTGCAGCATTGACCCGAGGTGTTGAGCAAACAATGAGGTTCTTGATTGATCTTGATTGTTTTTTGAGGTACTGTGCGCTGGCTGTATGGATTTGCAACGTGAGCAGAGGCACACAGTTGTGGTCGTTGCGTTCTTCGTTGCCACATTGTTGTGTTCAGCATCTCTGACGCGCAGGGCTCCTGATGGACCGGCAGAGTTGGCCGGGGGCGGCCGTTCGCTGCAGCCTTAGATCCTTTCCAGCCTTTCCCCAGTTCATCGTGGCTGATGTTGGCTGAGTTTATTTTATATTATTATCATATATACGTATATGTATGTATATATATATATAATTATGTTGTGATGGAGTCATGCTTGTTTTTCTTCGTTATATATAGATGGGTTCATGATGATTTACACTGCACTAAATATCACTAAGTAATGAACCAATAACAGGTTTGAACATGTTTCTACATGTTTTGAACGGTGACTAATGCAGCATGGAAACTCCGCCATCAGCTAACCAGCCTCGAGGCTTGGGCAGCAATCTCCTGATGTCTCAGCCACTTCCTCCTACCGACCAGTGTTGCGCTTGCAACATCGGAATGGCGGTGGTTCCCCCCTCAGTTTTTTGCACGAAAATCTAGGAAGCTTTGCAAAGGCCGCGGTTCAACATGTTCAACTCAGGTGGTGGCGCTCCACGCTATGAACTAGACTTGCGCCTCTACACCGCAGATGTCGTCTTTGCCTGGTTGCGCTATTTGTACACGCAGGCAGATGTCTTGAGCAAAGAGATTCCTGGAAAGACGGCGCAAGCGGGAACTGCTGCCTTGTGCTTGTGCATTTGTGCCTGTCGCTGTGAAGGATGACTTGGAGTTGACATGGCCCCTCAGAACGGATCGGTCTGAGGCAGAGGCAGGGCTAAGAGTCTCGACTCTCTTTTATTGTTGCTAAGATCCTCATTTAACATCTAGATGCTATGAATGCCGCACTGCCTTTAAGCATAATAAAGTTCAAGCTTCGTTGTGTTCCATTCGTGCAGGCTGCAGAAAAGTGGTGGATGCAACTTTTGCAGCTGGGGCAGTTGATTGGAGATTGGAAGCTCCAGCTTTATGCCCAGGACCAGAGTATTTTGCATGAAAGGTATCACATCATGTTTGTTTCCAACAAACCAGAGCAAAGCTGCTGCTGTTTGAAATCATTTTTGTGTTTCTCATTGTTTTCCCAGAGCTTGCCAACAAGAACATAGAGGTGGGTTCCCAGAGGTCAAAACCACGAAGCTCCCCGGAAGCTTGTATTGACAGTGGAAGGGATACAGTACTGTAGGCTTTGACAAGTGTGATCCGTTTCGGCGGCCTCTGTTGTCAAGCCAATGTGATGGGCCTGGGGCTGTTTGCCAGACTGAGCCGTGGAAGGTGAAGGATGCATAGGACCGTAGGAATTTCAGCAGGACTCATCATTCAGTTTTTGACAGCATGATCATTGATGACATTCAGAATTTTGCAGTAGATCGGCATGTTTTCACTGAACTACAAGTAGTATTGTGACTCATCGCAATGGTGAGACTCCAGCTTTATCGTTAGATTCTGCTGGCCGATGCAATTTGAGCAAGTCATTTTCGGAGGATTTCCACGACTTTGTGCCTCTTGGGCTTTAGGAATTGGCGACCGCGCCGCTCTGGCTGGACCATCCAATGCGGGAAAGAGTCTTCAGATCCAACTTATCGCTGGGGAAGTACCGATTCAGTCTGGAAGGATCGTTTTCGCACCAGAGATTTTCCGCATCGCCGTTCTTCGCAGTGGCTGGACGTTCCAAGAAACGGATCAAACTGTGAAGGAAGAAGTGAAGTCTTTGAGTCCTGTTCCTCGTGGTCTGCCAGGACCATCAGAAGCAAGATCAAGTTCACTGAGTGCACTGGTTGTTGATGTGGAGAGACTTTCGGCGCTTAATGAAATCACAGATGTGGAAATCGAGAAGTGCCTGGCTAAGTTTGATTTGAAGCCCCATGATCTACTCCAAGAGCTACCTCCGCAGAAATTGATACGTTTGGCTATGGCGAAGCTAATGATTTGGCAGCCAGATGTCCTCTTGTTGGATGATGTGACTGAAGACCTGGAAGACCTGGAAGATCCCAAAGTCTCAGATGAGGCTTGCAAGTGGATGGAAGAATTCCTGCTCTCTGCAGGGTTGAAGATTTTGCTTGTCGCATCGCATGACCGGAGCTTCATGGACAGGGTCTGTAATAGAGTCATATCAATACAGGAGAACAAGACAAGTGTGCTGGAAGGGAATTATGGACGCGCTTATTTGGCTGGAGGTGATTTCCTTCACTTTCATTCATTTAGCTTGTGGCAGCCGAAATCTTCAGGCTTGAGAGCAACCCAAGCAGCATGTGCCTTTGCGTCCTTGGTTGTGGAGGATTTCTGCAGTAGATGGGAGAAGGGTGTAGATGTAGAAGGAGTTCGCAGAACGTACAGAATTGTCGATGTTGGAACTGGCACAGGGATCCTGTCATTGATCGTGGCTCAGCAATGGCATCGACGTTTCGGGGCTTTATCGACCAAACCGGAGCTGCAGTTGTGGGCCGTTGACCTGGATGAACCAGCTTTGAGAATTGCAAGAGCAAACTTTGACGCCTGCCCATGGGCCGACCGGATACATACGCTTCACAGCTCCTTTGAGGATTGGACACCGGCATGGGATGATCCTCCAATGAGCTTCATTTGTAACCCTCCTTATGATGATGATGTAGTGAACAGACGAGCAGGTACGGAGGCAGAGGAGCTTTCGCGCAGACGAGCACTGGAGCGTTCCTTTCTTCCACTGGAAGAACTCTGCCGTGGAGTGAAAGGACAAGGTTGCCGGAGCATGTGGATTTTATGGGGCAACGCTGAGGTTCCTTGCTTGCAACTAGAGTCACTAGAGTAACTAGAGTGCTGACCCTACAATCCAGAAGCCAACTGGCAATGCCAGTCAGTGGAGTTTTGTCCATGGTTTTCATCCAAGAACCGACAGTACATGACAGTACTATTTTGTGTGCTGTTGGGAGCAGGCAAGAGGTCGTAGTAACAAAACAGTGTGCAGTTTGGGTTGTGCCCAGTCGTTGCTATTCCCTTCTGCTCAATTGTAAACTATTGTGAACTTGTCCTGAGGATGCACCAGTGCTCCGTGCAGCCGCAAATACTGGCTGGCGAGCAGTTCGTCAAGTCAGATTTCAACGCAGCGTTCACAGGGCCCAGGCTTTCGCAACTGTTTGGCAACTGACGCGAGACACGGATGTGAAACCTGAGAAATGCTTGGAGCCAGAGACCATCCTGTGGCAGAAGGATGATGGAACTCCATCAACTGCATGGTGGCAACTTGTTGGTTCCCTGTACTACTGGCATTTGCGGCCAAAAGTCCGGCAGCTCCTGGCGTTTATCACATCTGACGGCCGTGTGACTTCGGGTATCCAGAAGAGTGAGATTATACACTCACATATCACATATCACATGTGGGACTATACACATATAGTTCATACATATACAGTATACACGTAACATATGTAACATGTAACATGTGTATGTACATAAATATTATACATGCACATATACATACACATACACATACTCATATACATATATACATACACACGTATGCAAATAATTGATAAAACACTATAGATATATATTTAATTACTGTAGATGTGCAACATGCAATGTAAATATACATCTGTAACAATATTTGTATATGGATATGTTACGAAAGCAACCACTGCAGCGAGGATACTTTGGTGGGCGCCGTGAGCAACCAGAACTGGGTTGAGATGCTGAGCTTTGCCGAGCAGGCAATAGATGCTACCCATTGGGTGCCCAAAAATCGGGGATGGCCCCCTCGAAATAAGCGATATGTATAGGAGATATACACCTCAACTATGGCAATAACAAACCGGGGGAAAATAATGATGATGGTTTTTCAAAACATGGGATGCAATGGGGGAACCACTTTTCGGACAAAACCATCAGGATGACTCAGGGTTTGCAACATGGGCGGCGATTCTTTAGGTGAACTGCACAGTCCTTGCCGAAGCAGCTCTCATGACCGGCCTACGGCAACTACTCCCGCACTTGCTGGTCTCAACCTCAGGTCTGAGCAAATTTACGCCACGGCCATCTTTGAAAACCAGTAAAACCCATAGACCTTCAAGGTTTAATGGATTTTTGACGGATTTTTGATGGATTCTGGAACGATTTTCAATGGATAGCCATGGCAAACGCTAGCAGGGCTGATGTTGCTGAAACCTCCGGGCTGAGGCCTCATTTCGGGTCCCCACTGGTCTCGAGGGACAAAAAGCTGCAGTGCAGATCTCAGCGTGGCCTTGTTGGCCTTCGGTTATACATGTGTGCGAATACTACATGTTACACAGTCCAGATAAATTCCAAGCCTGTGACCTGAACAGTGAAGGGACTGTTTGCCAACATGCCCCCCCCAACTGCGCTAGATCAGTATATGTGCTGTGGTCTCATTGTGGATCACCACAGTACCATGACTTTGATGTCCAATGACCAAACCACACAAACCAAACCCTGGATGGTTCAGGGTGCAAGCGGGCAAGAACAGCCAGAGGCCACCGAAGTGGTCAGATTCTTTGTCCAGCAGCAGATTGGACTCTGCTTCCAGGCTGCTGGGGGAGTTCCTTCTCATGGCAGCGTGGAGGTTGAGCTTGAAAGGAAGCACCAAACTCAGTGCAATCTCAGCGCAGGCCGGCGCAGTCCCCTTTTTAAAGACTCAGAAGATCTCAGAAACATCGCTGTTGGGTCAGTTGCTTTAGAACTTAGGAACGTTTCTTGAAAATAGCTCAGGTTCATGGAACTTCGGGGCAGCAAACAGGCATCGCATGCCAAGGTGCTATGCTCAGATCATAATCCCGTATCCCAAGCCCCTACCAGGAACATCCAGGAACATGTGGTTGACGCATAACACATTGACAATCCTCAGTAACAGTTTCGACAAATTCTGCAGGCAATGCTTCTGGCCTTGAAGAGGTGCATCGGCATGTTTACCGAACACCTTCGAGGGCCATTGGGCCATTCATGTGTCTCACATCTGTTTTTGGGCATAGTTCTAAAGGTGCACGATGCTTTTTGAGTGTATGATAGTTTATGATAGTTTACCCTCTGGTGAACTAACATAGCAATGGAAAATGGTGATTTTCCCATTAAAAATGGTGATTTTCCATTGCTATGTTAGTTCACCAGAGGGTATGTCTATGTGCTTGATTCATCTTGATTCACTTCAGCCATTTCTCCGAGCAACAGAGACTGATTCGACCATTCGCCGCCCGGCCCTTTCTTTGTTTGATAAAAAATGGCTTCCGCGGCTTCCGACTGCCTCAGTGGCTGTACCTTGCCTGCATGCTGATTTAGAGAAATTCATTCGTCATGAGAACTGCCAGAGATGGAATACAACAAAAAAACACACTATTGAAGCAACGCTGCAGCATCGGTGTCATGGTAGATGATTAAGGGAGGACAGTTCTACTTGAACACCGAACACCTATTTGATGCACTCAGTGCATCTCAGTGCATCTCAGTGCACTCAGTGCACACTTCATCACTCTCCATCAGACTTCAGACTTCAGCAGTTGTTTTACACAGCATATCTTTGGCATTTCGGATCCTTCGAGGTGTCCGTGGTGTGCGTAACCTTCCAGAACTTTTGAGGCCGGGGCGCGAACGCCTTGGGTGGACGAGAGCATCTTCGCCACAAGGGCAAGACGATGCCTTGTCGCCGCGTCGCGTCGAACCTTGGAGTGATGTGTGAGGGAAACGACTTGAGATGACCAAACTATACTATACTATACTCAGATCCTTTATGATCCTTTGAACGTGGGATATTCTTAACGCCATCCTGAATATGGGATATTTCTGGATATTTTGCGTGATTTTGGGTTGGTATTTGCCCATAAAATCCTTTGAAAGTGTGGAACAACTTTGTAAGATGGGGAACAGAAGGAGAGTGTGAAGCTGCAGAACAACTTATGTCCAATACAGAAAGATCTCCTTTCGTGGTTCTGTGGCATGGGATAAGGACGATGATCATGAGGATGATGATGTAGACAGCGATAGACAACGTTTTGATGAATGCATCAGGACTTTGAACTTGCCAAAGGATCCACCTCTGGCACTTGCACCCAATTTACCGGTTGGCGAGCTAAGTTACTAAGGAACGGGAGACAGATGGCATGGCAGTCTCCGTCCCTCAGCTGAGCTGTCCAGGCTTGATCTCCAGAAGTCAATCAGCGCTGAGCGAAGAAGCACCATCCGCATCCTTCGCTGTGGAGACCCTGAGGGCTGTGGAGGCTGTGGAGACCGTGGAGGCTGTGGAGGCTGTGGAAGCCTTGGAGCGGCCAACACTGCTCACAGCCAGCAAGGTGGGCCAATGGTGTCAAGCAGTTTGGGAACCATACGACATCATACGACCCATGTAGGAAAACAATGTAGGAAAACAATGATTTTGTTCTTAACTGTTGCAAGACAGATGAGATGTATGAGATGTGATGGATCGACTTGGCACCTCTTTGTATTCATTGAACCAGCTCCATTGGCACCTCTTTGTATTGCTTCAGGCGGTGTCACCCAAGAGCATCAGGAGCCAAGGCGGAAAGCTGTGCACAAGTCCCCGCTTTGATGGACTTGAGGGACCAGATGGACCCGATGGATCCCTTTCTGCCCTTACAACCGCTACTGCTTTTGAAGCTACTGCTTTTGACGAGGTGCAGCTGCGCAGCTCTCTTCCATGTGGCTTTGGGATGCGGTTCCCAGAGGATAACCATCCAACTTTGGGGTATGCAAAGTTGACCCATACCATACCCAAAGCAAATTTAGTTGCTAGCAGCTAGCATACATCTTGCAGGGTAGGTTGAAAGAGGGCTTTCTGTTTGTTCAACAATTAAACATTCATTCTTGATCATCCTTGTTTCAAACAGCAAGGTTCTTGCGAGTTTTTTTCAGTTGTACATCCAGTCTATATAATGGGTTGAAGACCTTGAATACCTGCTGACTTAAGTGACTTAACTTAGTTAACTACACTTACAGCAACTGACTTGACTCATTCCCATCCCCGACGGCGTGACAGGGGTCTCCGGTCAACGCCCAAGCCTTGACCTGCTGCATCGCTGGAGCTCACGACAGCAACGACTGGCTGTGGGATGCCTCGCTGGCTGTGGGTCAGATGCTTAAGGGATGCCAGACACATCCAGAATGAACTTGAATCATCTTCAATCTTTAATCATCTTCAATCATCTTAAATCAACATAAATCAACATCACTCTAGAGAATTTCAACTTGACTTAAGTCTAGTCAACTTGAATCCGTTTCAACCGGTTTCAACGAACTCCAATAAGTTTGCTTCATTCCATTCTTATACCTGGTGATTAAATCCTGTGATCCTGCAGCTTTTGCTGAGGGGCAGCCTCATGGACTGGTGCAAAACACGTGGCATCCTTCCTGGGGAATCAGATCTATGAAGCAGCGGCGATGGCACAACCACATGTACAGTCGATGGCAAACTCTGCAGCCGATGCCTTGAAAGCTGCAGCAGAGGACAGCATGGGCAAGATCCGAGGCTGGACACCTTAAGATGTTGAGATTTCTAGTAGCCGCAACATAGTCTTGAAATGTCTTGAAGGGGTTTGAAATGCTAAGCCCATCCAAAATCATCCAAAGGTACAAGGTGAAGCCCAAATTGCAGTTGCCACAACCCATAGCCCAGCTGTCGTCAGTTTGAGGGAGTTTGTTTCGTTCCCGTGAAACCCTGACAGCCCTTGGTCCTCGAAGAAGCAAGCTGCAGCGTGCTCGTGCGAGCTTGGCTTTGGAGCCGCCACATTTACAGAAACCGACCCTGCCGGCTTTGCCCCCGCTGCCTGAACTGGGTGCATATACCGCACAGATGGGCTTGTGCCCAGCTCCTTTTCCAGCTCCTACGCAACCAGGAGCTCGGATATGCTCGGATCATAGGTCACATAGTGTAGCCAAAGGAACGGCCAAGTAAGTATATGTAAGTATATGTAAGTATAGCATAGTATAGCTAGCATAGTAGAGCATAGTCTAGCAGCAGAGTCTTCATTTGACGCACCTGCCTTTTTTGTGTGATTTTGCCTCCACATTCAGTGGTTCGTTTGTTTGTGTTTGAGTTTGCAGGAACAAACCGCACTTTGAGCGCACCCTTGCCTACGTGTTCAAGCTTTCCCACACAGGCCCCCACACATAGCTATGGCCACACGCAGAGCTATCATGCCGGATATCAGGCTTACCAGAGCCAGGCATTCCAGGGCTACAACCACGGCTACAAAGTCTACAGCCAGGGCAACAGCGGCTACCCCCAGACTTATCAGGGTCAGTTGGGTCAGCTGCAGCCTTCCTATAGCTTTGCGCATGCAAGCCTGCCACGGACATCAACCTTCCTGGCGCCAGGCATGCATCATGCACACTCATTCAGCGTACAGGAAACCCCGTTAGTTGGTCGAAGGGTGCCTTTGGCGCCATGTCGAATCAAGTCTGCTACAAGCTAATGCTTCGACAGTGATGTTTAGGTGGTTGATGGCTAGCAGTTTTTAGATGCTAGTATGTCAATTCTTAAATTTTGAACGCACTGCAAGAGGGCTGCTTGCTGCCGTTCATTTGAACCATCAACGCATGGTTCCAGCGCAAACCCCAAACTGCGCAAACCTGCATGATTCAGACCCGACAGCCTAAAAGTGAAGGCCGTGCAAGTGGAGATCATGTTCCAAATGGGGTTGTGCGCCATGGAGAGATACCTTTCCTGGTTCCAAGTGCCCGCCACACAACAGGAGCAGCCCCTCGCAATTTGCAGAGCTGAAGAACAGACTTTCCGAAGCGATAACCGCAGTTTGGCACCAAGAGCTGCATGCCACAACTAGTCTTGGAGGACCCTGTATAGAATCTACCCAACCATCCAAAATCCATCCAATTTCATCAGACTCAGGCTCAAAAGTCAGGTGCTCAACTTCAGCGCTGTGCCCATCTCTTAGCGCGGTGATAATTTGGGGATGATTCAAGCCGGTGTGGTGCTAAAATTCCCAAAGGCAACAGGTACTAATTCCTTTCAAAACCATTCGATGAATCGAATGCAGGTGGAGTATTTCGACTCACACGAGCAGAGAGGTTTCCGCCGTGAAGAGACCAAAGGCGCCTGAAACAACAAACTTTGCAAGAAAACGGCTGCAAGTTCTGGAAAGATGACTTGAATTAGAATACAAAAAGATCAAAAAGCTTGCTGTAGATTGCAAGGTCGAGCGCTTCGGGTGGAGTTAGCGGTGCGCCACACATTTCGGAGCATTGCCTTGCCATTTTCTACCTTTTGCGTCTGAAGAGTGAGTGCTTACGCTGCCTGATAGAGCCTGATAGATTGGAATCAGCAATGACGCTCAAAAGTCATTGAGAGGTCGTGGTGTTGCTGCTGGGTGTCTTCCTAATTCCTGCAGCAGCAAGGTGCGACCAGCCGATAGTCATAGATTTCATGGGTGCTTTGCTTGGCATTATGCACTGCAGGCAGACAATCTATGGCGCCTTTGTGACAATGACGGAACCGCTGACGGTGAGAAGCCTTGAGTGACTGGTATTTTCAAGATTTTTCAAACATGTTTTGCTTTTCATCCATTTTCCTCCATTTCCATCCAGAAAAACAGGATGACGATCCGAATCGACCCAATTTGTGGTTAGGATGGGTTGAATATTCAAATCGCCAAGGGGAATTGTTTTGAAACTGGATCTCCAAAGCATTGCCGAGGCATTTGCGGCCTATGTGGACTTGTGGTCTATGCTCCCATTTACTTCAGCTATCTCCAGCATCTTCGCCGGGATCCCTGGTGCACAGCTTTGTGTTCTGTTGGAAACAGCTTCGCACCAAGGCGTTGAACGTGGGAGTCCTTTTCTTGCTGCTTGTCGTTGCTGGCAACTTAGAAATTAATTTTCTCACGGAACTCGACTCACCATGAAACACCAGTGACGCGATTGTCACCATGAATCACCAGTGACGCGATTGCAACATCAAAATCCCGATGAGTCACAATGTTGTTCAAGGAACAGGTGGCTTCCAAGTTTCGTAAAGCAAGCGCTGTTGCTGTAATGTGCTGATTTTGAGAATCTTGAACCAAGGTATTCTCTGTCTTGCAGAAGTAGGCTGCAGTCTCAGATGTGAAAGCCCTTTGTTCCCCAGAGTCAGCTTGATTCTGATATGGACCACTGGAGAGCTCCTCTCGAGGGTTCGGGTATGTTCAGCTGTCCAGGTTTAAAAAAACTGAGACTTCACAGTCTGGTGTAGAAGTGGTGTGGAATGTTATCTCACCTCCAAATTGTTCCTATGCTTCGGCTTTGCCTTTCCAGTATCTATTAGCATTGCCCAACATTGGCAAAATTGGAATTGTCATTGCTGCTTATGATATAACTATAACGCATCAATGCATTGTATTGTTGCATCGGTTGGGAAAGACTCCGAATTGGAATAGCAGACTTTGGGCACAAGAAAGCATTGGAAGAGATTTGCTGCATGAGCCAGCGAAAGCGATTTTTGCTCTTTGGGCTCTTGCTCTGTTTGGAAGTGCCATGGGCTTGTGAATTTCAAGTTTGAACTGTACAATAGACGAGTTTGATAGACTTCTGTGTTGGAGACACTGCTCGGCTGGCCAGTGATGATGTCCATGCCATGTTGGTGTCTCGTAGACAATGACTTGCGCGAGCAACAAAAGCTGACGCTCTGTGAATGAGTCTTTGTTTCAAGAAGTGCGGACTTTCGCTTGCATGCAGTTTGCAAGATTTGATTTGAGCTCCCACTTGGTCATTGGTCATTGGACATGTTGTTATTTGTGTGGATTTTGTTTGAGCTTCAAACTGCTGTATGCTGACATCACGAGTATATAATCTGGGGAACTCCAAATACATTCGATCTGCCCCCCTTTCATACAAATCGGGTTCGGGAACATTGAGCCAGTTCAAATCTGCCAGCACCATGTCAATGTGAGAAGCGGTTTTCGCTTCAAATAGATGTGCTGAAACTTGTTGAGGACCGCTGTTTTCGACACAGGCAAATACTTGTGATCCTCAAAGTACTGATTGTTTTACCGCATTTTACTGATTTTGTTGCTGACGAGGTGGTTGTCGTGGCATTTCTTTCACTCTTCATGTTCCTGCAGTTCTTCGTAGCGTCCTGTGTCCATTTTGACGGTCGAGTCATGAGTCCAGGGATTCCAAAGACTCCCTCGGAGTCACCGAGTCACCGTTGCATTTTCCCATTTGGAGGAGCCTTGTATGCCTGATGTACCACAGGCCTGTGCCGCCATCGTTTCATTGCCTGAAGATTCCAAAGATTCCAAGAAACTGTGAAGCTGTGCAGGCTATATGCATTGATTCGGAAGAGGACCTCCAACTATTCACAAAACGGCAGCAAAAGTGGCAAAACTGCTACTGTTCAAAAACCACATTTGAACATATTTGAACTACAATTAGGATGAATTAGGCTCGTCTTGTGGCATTTCATGATGGCATGGTGACACAAAGAACCAAGCTTTGCAAGGAAACGCCGGCGCCACGAAAAAGACGTAAGCGTCGAGGGGTTCCCCGGCAGTCACGTGAGATGGAACGGTCAGCCGCGCCGGCTGAACCCAACAGAAACCAAGGCGGCACTGCCCCCTCTGAATGTTTGCATTGACGTGGATGAAGATCAGACAGCGGAGAATGGCAAGGAAAAGGTGCTGGGTGAAAGGAGTTTGAGTTGAGAAATGTGTTGCACCAAACTTCTATGGAACTGAACTGGGATTGACTACGCTGGTTGCTGACTCACTTCATGACTGCTACTGGGGATGTCTCTATTTTCTACAGTGACAAAGACACGTGCTTTGCCTGACCGGAACAGGCTGGCAACTCTGCCAAAGCAGCAGACAATGCGACCGTTTGCTTGTCATCCGATGAAGAGGTGCAGAAAAGCCAAGAAAAAGCAAAGCGACTAGGCCAGTTGCAACACTTGCTTGCCTGCGGAGGCTCCTAAATCGAGTCCAAAGCGTCCTCCCACTTGCAAGGATGCGTCGAAGCAGGCATTGGCAAGAATTGCAAGAATGCAACATGAACGCATATTAAATATGAAAACCAGATAACACACTTTGTATCATTTTGTCACATCGGAACAGAACGGTTGTGGATCTGAGACGCTCTGAGACGCCAATTTCAGCGTTGCAAGATGTTGCAAAATGGTATTGGTCTCAGGCAGTGAGTGAAGCTAGTGCCCCTGTCGATGATACCGATGGACTGGATGCGCGGGCACAGGAGATTTTTGGCAACATGTTTTTTCTGAGAGAAATATGTTACAACTGTTACAATACACTACAATATGTTCATTGTGATTTTAACTATAACTATTCCAAGTGCTAGACTAGCAGTACAGTCATTTCATGCCATTTCAACACATGGTTTGAACATCAACAGACGCTGCCATTTGGGAAACTAGCAGGAGCTTGCTGAGGCTGCCTTGCGAAGCCTTCCTCTTGAGGTTCGTGCTTCCAGGATTGCCAAGGCGCAGACCTATCCTGGTGACACATGGGAGATGTGAAAAAATGGGTATATTATCTATGTATCTGTATCAGTAGTACCGCACAAGGCGGTGGCGGAAGTTTCAAAAATAGGAAACCTATAGGAGAGGTTGGTTGTTGTGAATCACGGATGGCAGAGCGAATCCACTGATGGACCCCAAGGTGGTTGGAGTTGTGTTTTTTTGGAATGGTTGCAATGGTTGCAGTGGGCACCTGGTCGGTCACCTCACCCACAACTGCTGAATGTAGTGTGGTGTAGTGCAGCTGTAGTTGTAGTCGTAGTGTAGTGAAGTTGTAGTTGTGGTGTAGTGTAATTAGTGTAGTGTAGATGCAGTTGCATTTGTAGTGAGTGCGTGTAATGAATCGGCCCGCGGGAAAATTATTACAATTAGGTGGTGTGATGAGTGTAGTGTAATGTAATGTGGTAGTGTAATCTAGTGTGCTGTAGTGTAGCGTAGTGTAGTGTAGAATAGCGTAGTTGTAGTTGTAGCTGTAGTTGCAGTTAGTGTAGCGTAGTGTGGTGTAGTGTGGTGTAGTGTGGTGTGGTGTGGTGTAGTGTAGTGCAGTCTAATGTAATCAGTGTAGTGTAGTGTTATGTAGTTAGTTGTAGTTGTAGTTGTAGTTAGTGTAGTCTAGCGTAATGTAGCATAGTGGAGTGCAATGTAGTTAGTGTAGTGCAATGTAATGTAATTAGCGTAGCGTAATGTAGTTGTAGGTAGCTGTAGCTGTAGTTATAGTGTAGTGTGGTGTAATTGAATGTAGTGTAGTGAAGTGAAGTGGAGCATAGTGTAGTGTAATTAGTGTAGGGTAGTGTGGTGTAGTGTAGTTGTAGTTGTGGTTGTAGTTCTAGTTCTAGTTCTAGTTGTAGTTAGTGTAGTGTAGTGTGGTGTGATTGATTGTAGTGTAGTGGAGTGTAGTGGAGGGTAGTGTATTGTAGTGTAGTGTATTGTGGTGTGGTGTAATGTAGTTGTAGTTGTAGTTGTAGTGGAGTGTAGTGTAATGTAGTGTAGTGTTGTTGGTTGTAGTTGAAACTGCTACAAAACCTTCACGTTTTGTTCACTTTTGGCAAGGTGCAGAATCCCTTGTGCCTGCCACGCAAAACGACATCCGAACGTCTAAAAGTGCTCTGAACTCCTCCACTCTTGACTTCGAAATGTGCTTCGCGCCACGGCGGCGTGCACTTTTTCGACATCTCAACTTCCAAAAGTGGTCCGAACCTGGTGTGTTTTGTACATTTTGACTTGGAAACGTGCTTCGCGCCACAATGGCGTACACTTTTTTGACATCTCAACTTCCAAAAGTGGTCCGAGAATGGTGTCTTTTGTACATTTTGACTTCCAAATGTGCTTTGCGCCACAACGACGTGTAATTTTTCATTTCTCATTTGGCCAGATGGCTCCGCACCCGTCGCTTTAGCGAGCCTACTTTTCGACCCTCCGGAGCCACAAATCATTCGAAAAAGACAGTGATTCGCGACTTTCCTACCTTTTCGCGCACCTGCATCTTCTTTCTTCTGACTCTTTCTCTTCTCTGATCTTCTCTCTTCTTCTCTTCTCCTCTCTTCTCTGACTCTTCCCACCTATGCTTTTCCATGTCTCCATATGACTTCTAAACTTCCTTCGGTAATTCTTTTATCATACATATACTGGACATGTATTATACATATATGGTATGTATATATAAACACATATTATACACATGTTTTACACATGTGATACATAGAGCATACATATCTTGTACATACATGAATAATATGTGATCATACATGTATGTTTTGATGCATGTGAATACTGTTAAGGATATTGTATTGTAGAAATATGTATGTTTTCACACAAATACACGTACGTATATATCGACTTGTAGACATACAGATTTATTGACAATTACACAGCATACATGAATTGTATCGTATATGTATGTATATAGTCTAATGTAATGTGATGTAATGTAAGGTAATGTAATGTAATGTAAAACATGTAATGTAATGCAATGCAATGCAATGCAATGTAATGTCATGTAATGTTATGTATGTATGTATGTATGTATGTATGTATGTATGTATGTATGTATGTATGTGTGTATGTGTGTATGTGTGTATGTGTGTATGTGTGTATGTGTGTGTGTATGTATGTATGTATGTAGGTAGGTAGGTAGGTAGGTAGGTAGGTAGGTATGTATGTAGGTATCTATGTATAACTATGTATCTATGTATGTATGTGTATGTGTATGTGTATGTGTATGTATGTATCTATGTATGGATGGTATGTATGGATGGTATGTATGTATGTATGGTATGTATGTATGTATGTAATGTAATGTAATGTAGTGTAGTGTAGTGTAGTGTAATGTAATGTAATGTAATGTATGTATGTATGTATGTAATGTCACGTAACGTAATGTAATGTAATGCAATGTGATTAATGTAATGTAATGCAATGTAATTAATGTAATGTAATGAAATGTAATGTAATGCTAATATGTATGTATGTATGTATGTATGTATGTTTGTTTGTTTGTATGTATGTATGTAAGTAATGCTAGTTTGTTTGTATGTATGTATGTATGTATGTATGTGTGTGTATGTATGTATGTATCTATGTATGGATGGTATGTATGGATGGTATGTATGTATGTATGTAATGTAATGTAATGTGAAGTAGTGTAATGTAATGTAATGTAATGTAATGTAATGTAATGTATGTATTGTAATGTAATGTAATGTAATGTAATGTAATGTAATGTAATGTATGCATGTAAGTAAGTAAGTAAGTATGTATGTATGTATGTCTGTATGTATGTAATGTCACGTAAGGTAATGTAATGTAATGCAATGTGATTAATGTAATGCAATGCAAGGTAATGTAATGTAATGTAATGTAATGCTAATATGTATGTATGTATGTTTGTTTGTATGTATGTATGTTTGTATGTATGTATGTATCTATGTATGTATGCATGGATGGATGGATGGATGGAGGGTATGTATGTATGTATGTATGTATGTATGTATGTATGTATGTATGTATGTATGTATGTATGTGTGTATGTGTGTATGTGTGTATGTGTGCATGTATGTGTGTGTATGTATGTATGTATGTATGTGTGTATGTAAGTAAAAGATGATTTTATATAATATATATTCAACATATACACATATTATGTTAAACACCATACCTTTTCAGAGTGCACGGCCCCAAAGGTTGCATCTGGTTTGCACGAATCCTGTGCGCTCATTTAAATGCAATTTGATGAGGGACACGCAGGGATCATTTTGAACAACACTTTGACACGAAAGCTCCGGCCAGAAATTTCAGATGCACGTAGGTGAAGCATAGCATTCTCGTCCGCTTACGGAGCCAAGCTGCTTCTGAATGCCTGCAGCCTACTCTTGCTGGCATTCTTGACATTTGCAGATGAGCTTGGAGAGCCAGTTCTAGGCTTGGGATGGGTGCAATGTGCCTACCAGACGTAGCAATGAAATATGGACACATGTCCCTATCCGTAAATGATTTGCTCACCGAGCCTATTGAACAGGTTCTGCATGGCCAGGTGAAATGACTAGCCGTAAAGACACCTAAGGCCAAGCGCACGTCGAGCCAGCCGCCCCGGCATGCCCTCCGCAGCCTCCACCACCACCACCCAGTGAAGCAAAGGGTGTGGACGGTGTCGCCCCGGAGCAGAACCTGTTGTCTCAGCAGAAACGAGATCTCCAAGATTGGGTGGAGAGGAACCAACAGCAGCTGCAGCACAAACATTTTCAGGTTGAACAGCCCCCTGTTTGCAGATTTTGTGGATTGGCTTTCCTCGGACAGTTGGCATTGGTGTGAATGTTTGAGAGTGGAAATACTTTCTTTGCGCACTCATTTAGGCAACGCTTGGATGCAGAAATGCAGCGACAAGAAGGGGAACGATACCGGTTGGCACAGCGAGAGAAGAGAAAGGCTTGCAGGGTGCAAGAATAGGGGCCCAGTAGCATTCTTGTTACATATGCATAAATACATTTATATACGTATCTACATATCTACATATCTGCAAATCTGCAAATCTACATATCTAAATTTCGACAAATCTACATTTCGACATATCTACATATCTACATATCTACATATCTAGCTATCCAGCTAGCTAGCTAGCTAGCTAGCTATCTAGCTATCTAGCTATCTAGCTATCTAGCATCTAGCTATCTACTTATCTAGCTGGCAATCTATCTGCCTATCGATCGATCCATCCATCCATCCATCCATCTATCTATCCATCCATCCATCTATCCATCTATCTAAATCTATCTATATCTTTCTATATCTATCTATATCCCTCTCTATTTATGTACATCTAATCTATATCTATCTATCTATCTTTTTCTGTCTACTTTTATCTATTTATCTTTATCTATCTATCATTATCTATCTATTTTTATCTTTCTATTTTTTATCTATCTTAATTACAAACCTATCTTTATCAATCTATTTTTATCTATCTTTTTTCTCTATCTATTTCCCCACCTGCCAGGTGAGGGTTGTTAGATTTTATCAGAGCTGTTCTCCTCCTCCTCTGCCTCCTCACCCGCCGCCTCCTCCTCGCAGTCCAGATCCCAGTGGGCACAGCCGGACCTCCACCGCGAGCTCCAGATCCCAGTGGGCACAGCCGGACCTCCACCGCGAGCTCCATATCCCAGTGGGCACTGCCGGACCTCAACCGCGACTTCCAGGTCGCAGTGGGCACTGCCGGACCTCAACCGCAACTTCCAGATTGCAGTGCGCACTGCCGGACCTCAACCGCGACTTCCAGATC